GGGCTCGTCCTCAACAAGGCAAGACAGGGCCAGCAGTGACCTGGCTGCTGCTCACAGAGAGAGGAGGTGTTGGCAGAGAAATCAGCTCTGAAATGAGCACCCAGACCCTGCCATGGGGCTGTCCCTGCAGGGCTGGCAGGGGGATGTGCTGCCTCCCAGCCTGGCTCCAGGGACCAAACCCGTGTCCCCACACGTTGCAGCCATTAGGGGACCCCGCAGGGATGTCACTCAGAGGGGAAAAAAGCCCCAAACCACCAAGAGAGGGGAGAACAACTGTAACCTGGTAACCAGAAGAGCTGTGGGAGGAGAAACAAACACCAGATGATTGTATATATTTAAATAACTATAGGAAAAGAAAGGGCAGCGTTTCCTGTGTGCCTTGGCTCCCTGGAGAGGCTCGGGGAGCCTGGTGCTGGCTCAGGATGGATCAGGGTGCAGGACCAGGCTCTGCAGCCATGGCCGGGTCAGGGGAGACAGGACATGGAAGCCCTTGCTGTCCTGGGGCTCTGGAGAGGTGTCTGAGCCCCTGAGTGCAATCCAGATTCTCATCCTATGATGGTCTGGGCCAGCAAAGAGCAGCTGGAGGCTCCTGCCCAGCCAGTGCCCATTTCCTGCCCAGAGCTTGGGCCGTGCCAGCAGATTGTGTCCTGTGTTGGTGCCAACAGCAAAAGGTCAGACCCTGTGTGTGATTCTGCTGCCCTGTTTCAGCCAGGGATTGTCCTTTCCGTGCCCTCAGAGGTGACAGGAGGCACAGCAACAGCAGCCTGGGTGCTGCAGGGGCTGCTGGCTCCCAGCTGTGAGGGGGCTTTGCCTGAGGAGGGGATGTTGGTGCTGGACACGGGGTGCTCGCGTTCCTGGCAGCACATCCAGGCTCCCTGGCCACGCTCCTGGGGAAGGATGGACTTGGAACAGATGGTGCCAGCAGGGCCTGCTGCCTCTGGCTCCTTTTGCAGCTTGGAGTGGGAGAGGAGAGCTTCAGGCTGGAGGTTATGCAAGAACCTGCCCCAAATGTGGGTGCACCTGCTCTGTTTGCACAGCCCTGCCAGCAGAAGGAGAAGATCTCCTCCAGTAATTCTGGTGCTGACGGAGCAGAGGTGTCCCTGAGAGCTCTGGGGCTCCTGAAGGTGCCTGGCAGGTCTGGGCAGCTCCATCCCACAGCAGTGTGGGCTCTGTGGTGGCCCTGCTGGTTTGGGACTGGTTTGTGGTGGGAAGCAGGAAGGGGCCCTGTGGTTTTTGGGGTGTGCGAGGAAGCAGAGCAGGAACTCGGGTTGTGTCCTTCCTCTTTTTGACAGACATAGCTACAAATAAGAATGGAAATCCTAATCTCTATTACGAGAAGCTCCCTGCCTGTGGATTTTCCTGTGAGCCAGAGCTGCCTCTTGGATCTGGGGAGCTCTGAGGAGCTCCAGGAGCATGTGGCCCTGCAGAGCCACCCTGAGCTCCTCCTGGGCTCTCTCTGGTTCTGTGCTGGCATTTCCAGCCCAGGGCAGGAGGAGGCTGAGCCCAGCCCAGGCTCAGGGAAGGATGGAGGGAACTGAGGCAGGCGCGGCTCTGGGCTGTGTGCGCTGAACCAGCAGGGCTGGCTCTGGGGCTGGCTGGGTCACACAGGGCTCAGCCAGCCCCAGGAGGCTGGGAAGGGCCCTGTCCCCTCCCCAGGGAGCTGCCCAGGCTGGGAGGGAGACGCTGCTGTAGCTGAGAGTGAGGAGTGTGGAGGTTTCCATATGCTGATGGCAGCACGCTGTTTTAGTGGTACAGGGTTCTGGAGGAAGGAAGGAAAGGGATGATAAAAATAAAGCTGCAGATCTGTATTTAGCTATAAACCACTCCAGGATTTTTTTATTTTTTTTGGTAGTATTTGAAGACTATGCAATAAATGAGCTTGTTCATGAATTTTTTATTTTGTACCACTACAGCTTTGAAGAAGTAGCCAGGTTGCTGTGGCATTTCCATAGCTCAGGATCCCTGTGTTTGGGAGGAGAGGTTGTAAATCCTCTGTGCCAGTGTCAGGGGATTTGTGTGCTGTGCAGGAGCATTTTTGTCCAAGACATCAATGTACAATATCTCAAAGTCACTGTGCAATTGATAAAGACATCATGACAAACAAGCAAATGCAACATTTCATGTAGTGAAGCTTCATCCAGAATAAACAAATGTGCCAAAATTTTAAAATTCTGAATGATTTTGTATGCAAGAGTAAGAGAAAATGCATTCAAAGTGTAGCTGTTACTGCCAATGGGAGAAGAAGCTCAGATGCAAATAGCAAAAATTGTGTTTCCAGAGCTACTGATATAATTGGATTTTACTACAGATTCTAAGTGCTGATAAAGGACAGTGGTGAATATTTGCTTTGTTTCATGATCTGACACATGATCTGAGGCCAGGAGAGATGGATTAATTGAGTTGGAAAAGAATCACGTGGAAATGAAAAAACCAAACAGCACCCAAACCCCAAGAGATGTGTTTGATATCCAGGAGAAGGGCTGGGAACAGCTGTGAGCATCCACAACCCCAGAGTGGGCAGGGTGAGGATGGCCCTGCCTGCCCAGGAGCTGTGGGTAAAGCTGCCCTTTCCACATGGCAGGCAGTGTGCCCAGGGCTGTGCAGCTCAGCACTCCTTCAAACAGGCACTGGATAACCCCTGGAGAGCACTGGGTGTGACAGCCTCCTTCAAACACAACTGCAGGCAGCCCCATTTGGAGCCAGGCACCTGCCTCCCCACTTTAAACCGTGGTTATGAGAAGAGGGTGGATAATTTTTAAAAATTGCATTTTCTCACGCTGAAATTTGCCTTTCAGAGTGCTGTCCTGATGGCCTAGAAACAGCCTGCTTTTGGCCTCATTTATCATAGTTAAGCTCCAAGAGGAAAGACTTAATTGTGGCTTTCTTTTTCTCTTTTTTTTTCGTGCTTAATGTTAGATCCTCCTTTGCAACACGAGCTGGAGGTGGTCAGCAAACCTCGGTGGTTATATCAGTGGATCCAGAGGGAGTGCTTGAGTTGACAGGAGCTTGCTTTGATTTATCCTGAAGACCAAGTTTTGGATCAATGAGTAGCATAGAATAACCTCCCCAGTGCCCAGGGCCCTGCACAGATGCATTTGTCAGTGCAGAGCCCTGGCTGCTCTGTGCATATGGCAGCTGAAAGGAGCTGAGCAGCTCTGGGGGGGACAGAATTAAGTGGCAAATAACAGCAGTGAGAACCATCTGAAGCGCTGAGGGCGGGCTGGGCTGTGTGCTGGGGCTGTGCTCAGCAGAAATTCTGAAATCCTGCATGCTGACTGCTCTTCTGGAAACTCGGGAGCAGCAGCTGAGCAGGGCTGTGGGATCTGCTCAGCTGGGAGCTGATTTACAGGGCTGTGAGGTGGTGGGGAGAGAAGAGGATCTGAGGAGCCTCATCTCCCATCCCTGCAGCAAATCCCTGATCTGTGCTCAGTGCTGGTTCAGGATCCAGCTGCTGGAGGCTCTTCTGCCTTTGCTTGTGCAGGGTATTCTGGAGGCAAAGCTGTGGGAGGATGCTGGGAATGGGTTGGAGAGGCTTTGGAGGAGACTCTTGGAAGAACATCAGACAGGAGTTGGAGCCTTTCAGCTCTTGGCTGCCTCACACTTCAGTTACATGTGAGGGACAAAGAATCAGCTCAGAGGCACCACAGCTCCTCTTCCAAGCCCTGTCCTCCCCTCTTCCCACCAAGAGTCTGTGAAATTGGTGCTCCTCTCATGGCAGGGATGAACTTCACTGATGGAGCCCAACCAGACAGGATCAGGAGCTGGGGTGCTGCCTTTGGGGTCTCTGCAATGCGTGGCTTTGCTGCTTTGTGAGGTTTCAGTTCAACCCCAATCTGCTGTGATGGGTGGCTCGAGCTGATGTGGGCAGCGGGGGCATACCCACATTCTGGTTGGTAGATGTGCTTTGAGAAAAGAGACCAGAGACCACCTTTAACCCTCTGAAACAACCTCCCGAGGGCTGGCTGGGCTCCATCTCCTCCCTGTGTGTAGTGGCCACATGCAGCTGTCTGTGAGCCACTGCCTTGGGTCCCTCCCAGGCACTGCCCACCCCCTGATGGAGCCACGGCCATGCCAAGGGGTGGGTGATGGATCCTCCTGGCCATGGCTATGCCAGGGATGGGTGATGTTTCCTCCTGACCACAGGCATGCCAGGGATGGGTGATGTTTCCTCCTGACCACAGCCATGCCAAGGGGGGGGTGATGTTTCCTCCTGGCCATGGCCATTCCGAGGGGTGGGTGATGGATCCTCCTGGCCATGGCCATGCCAGGGATGGGTGATGTTTCCTCCTGACCACAGGCATGCCAGGGATGGGTGGTATGGGTGATGTATCCTCCTGGCCACGGCACTTGGCAGCTGGACAGGCGACTGACTCATCAGCCTTGGCGGTTTCTCATTTAATCCCGGGGCTGTTGGGATGATTTAAGTGCCAGCAGTCCGGAGAGGAGGTTGTGCTTGAGCTTCTGCTTCCAGCACGGCTGTGGAGCCATCGCCTTGCCCGCCTCCCATCCCCACTTTTCGCCGCGGGGGGAGGCTGGGGGTGGATCTGGGCTTGGCTCTCGATTATCTTGCGAGCACTTTGATTTCCTCCCGGCGATCGGGCTCTTCCATTGGCTCCTCTTGCTCTCCGTCGCTCTGCTGCTCGCAGCCGATGTCCTGAGCCCGGCGCCGCTGTGCGGGGCGCTCCGGGGGACCCTGCCCGCCCCGCCGGGCGCTGTGCTGAGCGGCGGAGCCCCGAGCCACCCATGCCCCCGGGGGGAGCGCTCTGCCGGGGGGGCACCGCCTGCCCCGCAATGTAACCGGGGGTGCGGGGGGGCGCGGGGCCGGCCCCGGAGGAGGGGCAGGGGCGGGCAGGGCAGGGCAGGGCCCCCCGCGCCCCCCCATTGTCGCTGTCCCCTCTGTCTCTCTCTCCCGCAGGCTCTCGTCGCCCGGCGGCTGCGGCGGCGGGGACGGCGGCGGGAGCCGCAAGAGCGGGGTCATTCTGGACATCGCCTCCCTGAAGATGACGGAGCTGGAGTCCGAGGTGCTGCCGCTGCCGCCCCGGTACCGCTTCCGCGATCTGCTGCTGGGGGACCAGTCCTTCCAGAGCGACGACAGGTTCGGGGCACACAGCGCGGGGACAGCGCGGGGACACCAACCCGCCGGCAGGGACACACGGACCTGGGGCTCTGCCGGGGCTGGGGGGACACACACGGGGCGCGGGGACACACCGGGGACAGCTGCGGGACAGCGGAGGGGACACGGGCGCGGAGCTGTCCGCGGTGCCGCTCCCGGCGCGGAGCTCTCCGCGGTGCTGAGGGCGGGAGAGGCCGCGGATGGCCGGGGCTGCTCGGAGCTGCGGGCACGGGGATGCGCTGGAGGATCCGGCGGCTGTGGCACCGCTGGGGTGTGCGGGAGGAGGCCGCGGGTGCCCCGGGGTGCTGGGTGCACTGGGCGCCGTGGGTGCACTGGGAGTCGTTGTGGGTGCATTGGGCCAGCAGAGCTCTGTGGGCACCTGGCTGCGTCCTGGAGTCCCATCAGGGGCTGGCAAGCAGGAGAAGGGACTGATGTCTGGGGGAGGTGTGGGACAGTGAGGGGCTGGTGGAACTCCCTGTGAATTTGTGTGGAATTTGGGCTGACAAGCATTTAGTGAGGAGGGACGGCTCCTCCAGGCTGCCCTTGGATGCTGTCTGGCAGCAGGGTGGCTCTGGAGAGCTGCTGGGGTTGTGGTGCTGCTCTCCCTTCCTCAGGATGACCACAGGAATGGCCTTTTTTGTGTTGAGCACCGTCCTGCTGTTCCTGCCTGGCTGGGATTTATCCAGTGAGCAACAGAGGGAATGCCATGGGTGGCAAGAGAATTCCATGGGCAGAGCAGTTCAAGCGAGAGGAACAGGCACCTTCCCTTCAACTCTGCTCATATCATAAATGCCAGTGCTAATGGGCAGTCAGGTGTTTATCTTTCCCTACCAATTAATTGCATGATGCAAACAAAGAGAGGTCTAATTTTTGTTGGAGAAAACCTTTCAATTACTGGTTAGTCCTTGACTAGCTGCTGTGTGCCTGCTACACCTGCATCAAGGTTTTTTGTGCATTTCTCTTAAGAGATAATTTCTTTTTTTTTTATATGTACAAGTATCATAAAAAAAAAAGTGAATTTGGCTTTGAGACTGTGAATGTGGGTTTTACAAATGTTCTCTATAAGTGTTCCTAACTTTTATCGCTGCATAAAATTGGTCTGGCACAAAAAGGAATCTGTGATCCTGGAGGTTTTAAAGCCCAGATTTCCTTAACAGACACTTAAACATTAATATAGTTTTATGATACTGAGTGAGAAGTTAACAGGAAATTCCTGCTGCAGAAAATGTCTGGCTTTCAGAATGGTTGTGATACGGCTCATTTGGTCAAGAGTGAAGATTTAATAGTTTTCATATTTAAGTATTTGGAAGCATCTGAAATAGGGAAGATGGCAAAAGCAGCAGATTGTGTTCTTTATGTATTTCTCTGGTTACACCCCTTAACCTTCATTTTCCTCTAGATTTGAGTCTTTCTGATTCAGCATCTCTCTTTAATTTTAATGTGGAGATACTCTGGGTTGTTTTGTTAATTCATTAGCCCCATTTCTCAAGAATTCATTAGCATTGTTTCTCAAGATATCTCAGTTTCACTGGCTCTGTGCCGTTTCCTTGAGTTATTTGATTGCCCCTTCATCTGGAAAACGCTGATAATTTCATTGTGTGGGGGCTTGCAGATCTCCGAGCCCACATTTGCTGTTCACTGGAGTCCACTTGACTTCCCTGGGAGCTGAGATGAGCTGTGGGCTTTGGGAAATGTTGCTGTTAGGCCTAAATTCCAATCCAAGTCATTAATAATCGTGGGACCTTGTGGCTGAACCGAGCTTGCTGGAGTAATTATGACTAGTTCATTAGCCTGGTCCAAACCCACTGAATCAGGAGCTGATTTAGGAAGAAAAAAAAATGAGAAGCAGAAAGACTTTTTGGCTTTGCTGTGCTTGTGGATGATAAGCAGCTCAGAGCTGTGCTTTGAAGGGCTTTGTTGCAGCCCTGGCAGGGATGTGCTGAGGAAAATCCCCCCACAAACTCTGCAGGGAACCCGGAGGGGTGAAACAGAGCTCCCTGGACTGGGAGATGTGACACTGAAGGAAAGCACCCATAATGCTGAATATCTCTTTTATTTGTCAAAGGAATGCTTAAATTCAATGTCTCAAAGGTCTGGTTTTGAGCATTACCCTGGAATGAGTGTGCTGCTGGAAGTGAGGAGGTTTCTGGGGTCAGCAAAGACTGAAAGGATGAGAGGCCAAAGGGGAGCCTGGGGTTTGCTGCTTCTGGAGAGTTAAAACTGCTCCTGCTGGAGATGAATTAGTGCATCTTCATCACAGGGGATGCTGAAGAGACACCAGCCCTGGAATGAGGTAATGCTGGAGCTTGAGGAGATGAGAGCTCGTTGGAACAAGTAGGTAATTAGAGAGCTGTGGTACAGCAGGGGGAGAGAGTGGGTCCAGATAACCTCTGAAACAGAAGGGACTAATCAGTGAGCGTGAGGTGGGATGGGTAAATTAGGCTGCTCCTAATTTACTTTTGTTTTTGGGATGTGAAAGGTGATCACAGTCGATCTGAGCAGGGCTTGCTCCTTGGCAGGTGGACTGATTGACAGGAGAATGAAATAACACTCATTCTCCTGTGGTGGATGCAATAAATTGGCCAGGAAGCAAATAGGAAATGGCTGGCTAGGAAGGGAATGTGGGAGGAAAATGGATTTGTGAGACAGAGAGAGAAAAGCCTAATGACAAGCAAATCTAGAGTTGTCAAGCCCAAGAGCTCTTTCCAGGATCATCTTACCATCTTCAGAGCTCACTGCCACGAAGGGTGGAAGACTTTGGGCTGAGCTGTGTTTAAATTCTGGGCTTGACATTTCTGGCAGGTCTCTGGGCTGGAGGAGCAGGGTTAGGTGTCATTCACTCTGGATTCCCAGAGGCTACAAGCAGCTCTCAGGGCAGGACTCTGACTGCTGGGGCCTGGGAGGTGATTTCTGGGAGGGAAGGCTCTCTTTGGAGCCTTGCAGTTGCCTCTGTTGTCTGGCATTAGTCCTGCCCAGTTCAGAAATTTCCTTCCCATTGGAAGGTGCTGTCAATGCCAATACTGGGAGAAAAATGGATTTGTTCTGCTGGCTCCTGGCAGTGCTGCCTTTCTTATCTCACTGATGTTTTGTGGCCATGAAAGCACCCAGAGCCTCTGCAAAGGCAGAGTTTGAGTTGTTGAGGCAGTGACAAAGAGAAGGTGAAGAACTGGGGGCACAAACCCTGCTGGGGCCTGGCTCCCTTTTCACCTTCCTGGCATGGGAATCCTCTGGAAATGGGAACCCTCTGGGCATGGGAGCTGTGGGAGCAGGGCCAGGGGTGCTGGGGAAGGGAGCAGGAGCTCAGCACAGCATCCCCAGGGCTGGGGCTGCCCAGGCTCCTGTTCTGAAGGGGTGCTGCCAGTGCTGATTAAAGGCAGCTGAGAAAGCACATCTGCTGGATGGATAAATATTGTTGCACACCCCAAGCTGTGGTATCCCTTTGATGTTTGCTGTCCTGGCTGGGGCAGTTTTTGATCTCCTGCATTTCTCTTTTCTTGGACAGTGCTGACAGCTGGGTTGGGGCATGTATAAAAAAAGCCCATAAATAAAATTAAACTGTATCTCAGAAAAGTGTTCATTAGGAGCTTATTTGTTGCCTAATTTGAATAGTCTGAACACTTTCCAGAAAATCATCGTCAGAAGCCACAGTCCTATTTACAGGAGTGAGAAGTAATGGATGTCACTTTGATTAAGTGCATTTTTCTGAGGCTAATTATCAGCAAAAAAATCATTTTGATGGATGAGAATGTTTGGAAAAGCTGCTTGTGCAGAAGAATTCAGAAACTTCTCCATAAAATTTTAACATCTCCTATTTCAAATCAAAGATATTTTGGGTGTTGCATAACCAAGAAAAGAGGATTTTGTCAACCGAGGCCAATTCTTTTAAGTTTCTGCTTTCAGTTTTTTTAGAGTCTTACAACTTCTTTGTCTGTGATCTCACATCTGGTCTTTGTCTCTAATTTGTCACTAAGTGGTGGCTCTAACTCTTAGGTCAGAATATGCTTGGCATGAGCAAAGTGAAGTGCTGCAATATCAGCCTTGGAGGATCTTATCCCTGCAGTTTTCGTGCTAACATGCCCCAAGTGAGCTCCTCATCAAAATGCATCATTACATTAATGGAGCTGGGGAGTTTTGTGTTCCCCAGGCAGGTTCTGTGGCTGAGTCCTCACTTCATTGCTATTTGATTTAATGGGCAATTTTCCTCATTTTATTTGGAAGATGCAGATGCCAATTTGAAAATTCCAATTTGTATCCAGAAATTAGAGACATTTGTTTCTCTGCTGGTGAGGTAATGGCAATATTTTAAATCAGTGCACAGCCTGCTCAGGCTGTCGCCTCTGTGCCAGGGAAGGTTTGTACCTGGAATTAGGAGATTCAGCTCTGCTGCTTGTGTGCCACAAAATTCCCCTGGGGGAGGCTCTTCATCCCCCAGCAGTGTGACCCCTTGCTTGCCAAGCAGGATGGGTATTGTTGCTAACATCCCTTCCCTCAAAAATGGTGTTTAGACCTATTTCCACCATTCCTGGGTGCAGAAACTCTCAAGGGGCAGCTCAGTGATGATGCCTGAGCAAACCAAGTTACAAATTGAAGGTGCTGGGATCCCAGACAGGAGCTTGGGAGTGCCTGTGTGTCCAGCAGAGTTAAATTGCTTCTCCCCTGCTCCTTCCACCTGGCAAAGCAAAACCAAACCAGTTATTAATCAGATTAGGCTGTTTAATTAATGAAATAATTAGATTAGGCTGTTTCCCTAAGTCAAGGCTTTATCAAGGAAGTTTCTGTGTGACAGCACAAGCAGGAGTTTGCCCCTGCCAGCCCTGCATGGTGTGGGCACCTCCTCACCCTTAACAGGGGCAAAGCCAACAGATGCTGCCCCTGGATTGCTGAGCCCAGCCCCAGGTGGGACACACCAGCATGAGGAGCATTGGGAGCCTGAGGCAGATTTATAAAATTGATTTGGGTTTTCTTGTGTTCGCAGAACTTTT